GGCTTCAGGCAAAGTGTCTTGCCCAAGGACACAACGACAGCAGTCATCAGTGGGAGTCGTGAAGTAGGTCTTATGGTGGGCTCGAACCCACAACCTTCAGGCCTAAAGGCCAATGCTCTACCAACTGAGCCAATGTTGCCCCGCAATACATTAATAATTTGCGTAATTATAAATTATGCATATATGACAGGTGCGTTATCTGATGGGCGTCCAACAAGAAGGGTGGAGTCTATTAGGGTCTAAACCAAGTCTGAACCAATTCCGAACCAAGTCTGAACCAAGTCTGAACCAAGCCTGAACCAAGCCTGAACCAGGTCTGAACCAGGAGTGAACAATGTCTGAACCAGGACTAAACCAGGACTGAACCAGGTCAAAATCAGGTCTGATCCAGCACTAAACCGGTTCTAAATAAGGTTTGAACCAGGACTGATACATTGCTTGTTATGTTGTTCCTTGTGAGACTTTAAGAACCTTCTACACTTCAAAAACCGTTTGGGTTTATTGTGTCTAAACTACTGTTGAATTTTGTCGGAAAACCTTTAGTTCAACTTCCCTCTGTAAATTAATAGATGTGTAATTAGATTATTATGTATTTCTTTGCAGATGTGTCAGCCTTGTTTGATAAACCTTGCCATGAACACTACGTTATCTGTGGCCTGAACCATCCCCAACGATTCTGATTCACACAACAATACTTTCTGTAGATCCAGAGACGAGTCGCCTGAACCACAGCTCACATCTATTTTAAGCCGAGCTGCGTTTAGCCTTTCTCCAGTGAGTCCGAGCTCCAGCCTACTTTCTCCGCAGCAGCCAGGACTAGACCACCTCATGACAGCCAAGAACAACGCAATCCGGCCTACACGGTTTGGGCAAAATGCACAACTGTGATTTTTCTGAAGATAATAATGATATAATTTTTTATTTCAAATCATACATGAATCATTTGCAAAAGCAACAAGAGAGCAGGGAGAGAGCAGAGAGAGACCAAAGAGAGACCGGAAAGAGACCAGAGAGAAACAGGTGAGACCAGGGCAACAAGAGAGAGACCCAAGAGAGAGAGTAGAGAGACCTTGACCATAGAAAGAGCAGAGAGAGAGGGACCAGAGAGAGAGCGGAGAGCAGAGAGAGACCACAGAGAGACCAGAAGATGTCTTTAGTCTAAACTTAAAATAATAAATAGGACACATTCTTCATTATAAAGAACGTTCATATTGGGTTGACCCCAGGCATCTTTCTCTTGGTAAAGGGGGAAACAGCCATGCACCTGACCTTGAGAACCGCTGGGGCGTCATTCACTACTATTGTGGTATGCTAGCTCCATCTTGCAATGTTTGCATATGCATACTACTGCGTTTACCTTGGATTTTAGTGTGAAGTGCTTTTGATGCTTCTCATTGGAGGCCGTTTACACGAGGATGTTGCGCCAGTAAACCGATAAGAGTTGGGTATTAGATTGGCCTTTCATTTACTTGAAGATGTGGGTGAAAACCCTTGCGCTGAGAAACAGCCTCCAGAGTGGAACAGAACAGATACGCTGCGCAGCGAGGGGCTGTTTCAAAGCCGTGTGAAGAAAAAGGTGTGAATTCGCTGGCCGCAATAACCTCACCACTTCCCCGCACGTACATTTGGACATGCACAGTAGCCGAGAACAAACCTAAACAACTAATGCTAAATGTGCTTCTCAAACATTACACGGAGGAGCAATTCTACTCCTTCATCCATGCAACCAAAACGCGTTAATAACGCGGCATCTTTTTTTTGCCAATAATTGAATCTGATCCCAACAACAACTGCATTCTTTTTCACATTTTTGTTGCATGGCTAGATCAAAGATAATCAACATTAGAGAAGCACTGTTATGCTGCGTTGGTAAAATTTGCTGTTTTCTATTATAATGTTATTGACTATATGCCCTGTTTCCATCAGCCCTACTCCAGTCTACTCTACCCTACCGGGAGCGTTTCCTTCACCCCTGTTCTATCTAGGCGGGCTGGGACTGAAGTGTTCTAACTCTTGATTTTTTTGCATTGTTGTCTGGGCAAAAAACATAGCAAATGTGTTTGACTTATTTCTTCTACGATACTGATAATTATGTATGCAAGTGTATTTATCAAATTGACCCTCTTCTAGTCCAGTTTGAGAGTGACAGAAAGCCCAGTCTTTGCAGTGGCACGATTCATTCAGCTATAAAATGTTCCGGTGACTATATTTGATTCCAAAGAAAGTGGGTCACAAAAAAGATGAATAAAGAGCGGCCTGAGCAGCTGATGCAACGACTTTGGCAAAATGTTGTAACCAGAAAACTAAAGCAGATCACAATGAGGACAAAAACAGAGACCAGAGAGGGCACGGGTATGCTGACGAGAAACCAGGACTAGAGCAGGGACTAAATCAGCCAGAGGCAGCAGCGACTGAAGCAGAGAGTGAACCACGACTAAACCAGGACTAAACCAGAACTATACCAGGACTAAACCAGGACTAAACCAGGACTTAAGCAGAGACGAAACCAGGACGTGACCAGGTCCAAAGCATGACTGAAGTACACTCTGTCAGAGACAGGACTAAAGCACGGCTGAAACAGGACTAAACCAGTACTAAACCAGGACTAAAACAGAACTAAACCAAGACTAAACCAGGTCTAAACCCAGAGTAGACCAAGACTAGACCGGGTCTTGTCCAGGACTAAAACAGGACCAAAACAGGACTGAAACAGGACTAAAATGGAATAAACCAGGACTGATTCAGGTCTAAAGCAGACACTTGAAGTCAGGTCTAAACTGGGTCGTGAATTCGCGGTGTGAAACGCGGTCTTCGCTGATGCGGTAACGCAACAGCGCTGCGTGGAGAGCGTCAAAAACACAAACAATAGATCTAAACCAGGTCCAGACCGGGTTTACACCAGGTTCAGGCCAGGTCCAGACCAGAGCCTGTCCGTCACACAGCTCCCAGGCTGCGTTTCGTGTGTTTATGAGACTGTCGCTTCTTTCTCTGTCGCTTCGCTTTGTGTCCCGTGTTGTGGAGGAACCAGTCGTCTTCCCGGGGCTCGTACCCAGCCTCTCCCCTAGCCTCTCCCGGGTCTTACCGTGTCTGCACTGCTCAGCACGGCCGTGGTTAGGGTCTGTCCCGGAGCCTCCGACGCCATCTTCGAAGGCGCGCGTTAACTCCTGCCGCACGGACGCATGAAGCGAACCGAGGGAACAGCGGTATTTGTGGACAAACACAGGAGGACACAGAACGGAGAGGCGCGGGGGCAGTGTCCGGCCCGAGGCGTGGGTTCGCGGGGAGACAGTGACCGGTGGGAGGGTCCAGGGAGAGGAGTGGGCGTCTTCCAGCGGTGCGACGCGCTCCTACTCAAACCGACGCACTGTGACTGACAGCGGCATCTGCGCTCTTCTCTGTGTGCGTGTGTATAGTTTGTGTGTATGGCAGAGTAGTGGAGCCTGCGTGGACCGAACCATGTTCATGTATCATTTATATCCCCTTGATTTGTACTGTGAGATAATTGTACTTCTGCTTCAGGCCTCTATCCTGTGTATAGACTCATGATATCTATTACACGTTATATATTACCTTATGCAGGTGTGACGTCAGATCGCGGTCCAGTGTGACGTCATATACAGTGGCTGTGTGGGGTAGACTCACATATCTGTTTACTGGCCTGAGCTCCTGATGCAGATGTGATGTCAGGATTAAGAGGATCTCTCATGCGACTCACATTTAGCAGATTTAGGTCACTGCATCAAACAGGCTCCAGCCTGAACCAGAATACTGCACTATTTACAAAGCTGTTCCACTGCTCCCTCTACATTTGTGGACATGACATGGGATAGAAAATTCATATATTTGTATTTACAGTAGAGACACACTGGTTTGAATTAATAACACATTCCATTGTGAAAACATGAATGTGGTATTCTGCCACCAAACAAATTAAATAAGCAAGTAATATTCATTTGAACAAGCTGAGCCCACGTGCAGCCCAATCTAGATTTGTAAAGCGCAGACTTCCACCAAGTGACATTCCATTCCAATTCTAGAACTATTTGGTCCACCCAATTTCAAAAATGTTCACTAATGTGTTGTTGTATTCCATCACTGTTTGAGTGTGGTTGATAAACATTTGGTGATCGTATTTAAAGATGTTCCAGAAAATCTATATATATTATTTTCAGCTCAGCGCGGATTCTTTCATACACTGCGTTACAGCTCTATCTTGTGGCGATGCAAAGAATCACATGAAGGCGACAGAATTTGGCGCACGTCCAATGTGATGTGTCACATATCTTTTCTATCTCAGTGTCACATTATTGACCGGTGTCTCTTCCTCTATGGGGCCCTGTTTTAACCGAGCCTTTATAGTTAAAGGCAGAGAGAACAAAATGAAGCACACATGTCTAACTCGGCTTGATATAATTTACATGACACAAGTATAACTATTATTGGATTGTTTAAAAATACAACTTTTTATTTTTTATCAGTACAGTTCACATGATATTCAAAAATGTCAAAACACATGATTTTGTTAAATATCCAACAGCAGAATTTCACCCTGAATAAAACACTCCCAGAGCAGTAATTTTGACGGCTCACATTCAAATCAATGAAATTCTGACAAAAAAAGAAAAAGCCATTTGTTGAAAGGTTACTAATTTCTAACTGCTGTCAAGTAAACAGTGTGTTGCTATGGTAACTATCACTTGATCAAAGCTGAGATAGCTCTGAACTAAGACCAGATCCTTTACCTGCTAATTAATGTTGCTTATCCAGGGATCAAAAATGACTGATGAATGACTGATGAATAATTTTTAAGTTTACAAAATGAGTGCTCTGGGAGATCTTATGTTAAAAAGTTCAAATGTGACAGTTCCAAGCTTTTATCTGGAAATAATTCGGGACTAATATCATATTCAGGTTATAAAATAGATCTGTGTGTGAAGTAAATACCATAAAAATCCCCCATAAAAACACAATATTCCCTTTAAAAATGAGTCCGGAACCAGTCAGTCGTCGTACGTGATTGGAAACCCGTCTATACTGGTGGGTTTCTGGTAAACGTCTCTAAAACTGTAGGTCATGGCGTGCCGTATAGCCTCCGCGCCGCCGTAGTCCGCAGCCTGGCATTGTTGGACCTCTGGCTGAACGAAGGCATCGCTGTCTTCGATCCACTCGGGCAGGAACTCGTCCCCCAGATACTCGCACACGTTGTGGAGGATGCAGCAGGCGGTCACCATGGCGGGCATGGCGGTTACCTCGATCTCGTTCCTCTTTTCCAGGCACCCCCAGCGACCTTTAAGACGCGTGAATGCAACTGGGACAACGGCGCGTGCTGCGTTGAGGGCGTGTGTGAAGCGCCGCTGCTCCGGGGAGAGGCGGTCTTCCAGGTTGTATCCCGTCAGTAGCCAGCGCTTCAGAGGGAACGAGCAGTCTCCGATCAGGTGCACCGGGACCTGCACGCCACCACCGAGCTCAACGGACTTCTGCAGGAAAGAGGAGGGAGAGTGAGTGGCTTAGAAGAAAAATTATGGATTATTTTTACCTTTAAAAGAAAATGAGAATTTCTACTGTTTAAATTTTATGTTTTAGAATGTGATATGGGCTGCAGAGGTTGTCGAGGAGGTGGCAATCAGAGATGCCACACAATCCTCATAGCAGCTCCTCTCTGGTCCTCCTGCAGGTGGTACCAGCCCCTTTCTAAACCTCCCCTCTACGGTCCTCTATGGTCCAGGGGCGACAGTGGCTCAGTTGGTAGAGAATTGGCCTTAGAGCCTGAAGGTTGTGGGTTTGAGCCCACCGCAAGACTTTCTCTGACGACTCCCACTGAGGTCTGCTGTCGTTGTGTCCTTGGCAAGACACTTAACCTCTGGAAACACCAAATGCTACAGTGGCAAACTTCTGTTGTGTTCTTAGGCAAGACACTTCATCCCCATTTGCCTAGAATGAGTCTGGTGTGTGTGAATGGTTAGTGGTGGTCGGATGAGCCGATGGCACATACTGGTTGCCTCACTTATGTCAGTGTGCCCCAAGGCAGCTGTGGCTACAGTAGTAGTTTATCACCACCGTGTATGGTGAAAGAATAATGACATGTGAAGCGTCTTTGAGTGTCCAAAAAAGCGCTATATAAAAACGATGTATTATTATTATTATGGTCCTCCTGCAGATGTTCACTGTCGCCCCTGAAATAATATTTTCAGTAGAAAATTCTGTTGAAAGGGAAACTCCCTATACTGCCACCAGAGGGAGGAGTAGAATTTGTTTTTTTTTTCCAAATTTGAACGTTCAAGAAGCATGTGATGTCCTTTCACTTGTGTGGGCAAAACTGTCCTAGTGGTACAATCACATCATACTGCTACAGGAATGAGACTGGGGCTTTTAGACAGAAGGAGCAGAGTTTGTGCCAGAAGTTCCAGATATTGGCGTGGAGGAACAAGAAAAGAGAAAAAAATTCTACTCCTCTCTCCTGTGGCAGCATAGGGATATGACTAGTATTTTTTAAATTATATTATATTTTATATATATATATATATAAAATATAATACAATATAATATAATATATATATACTGTATACACTGCTCAGTGACAAGAAGAGGGGAGAATCTGGGTAGACATATTTACCCATTTTGGACATATCACACATTTTGGACCACACACTTTTGTTTCCTGTTTTGCTCATACGCCTGAGTCACATCTGCTGTAACAATCATAAGCCGCTGTTACAATTAAAGCAGCAAAACGCATTACGTGCCTCCAGTTTTATACTTACAGTTGGCTTCTCTTCTCTTCAGAAGCGACAACGTTTTTGGTTGCTAAACCCTCCATGTAATATCATACATACATGCATGCATGTCCCCCTAAAGGAGTGAGAATCACAATCGCTCCACACTGACCTCTGATGGAAAGATCAGCTGGTCCTCCATGTTCAAAAACAGGTCAGAGCTGGACAGGACCGTGGCGTTGGAGTTACTGCCCGGCCACCCGGCGTACACATGGGTGAACCTACAACACCAGGCCCAGCAGGAGAGACCAAATGTCTGTTAGTAGTATATGGTGGTGTACAAGCAGAGTCACAGGTTCCATTTCATTCTGTCCATGGCATCGCCATAATAACTCACCACATAGAGCACAAACATACCCATTTTTGCCCAGGCTGGTGCCGGTTCTGAGCCAGTTCTCATTTCAGAATCTGTTTACTTATTTAACTCAGCTCAAAGTATAAATACATCTTTGTATCACTTGCTTATAAAATGTTTTTGGTCACAATGCCTTCAAAAAATACTTTTCCTTCAGACCAGTCGCACTAGTTACAAACGCATAATTCTGTCAGTTACTTTTCAAATTGTGAAGATGGAGAGATATTTTTCAAATGCATGCACCAGTAAACCCTGCCCTCACAGGTTCTGATTGGACGCAATGAATTCAAATCCCTGATAGACAACTGACGCCCCTCATTGGTCATCTTCTCTAGTCCTCCAGCAGGTGGAGGACTAGAAATGGGACTTCTGCCCCACTCTGCCCCACTCTGCCCCACTCTGCCCCACTCTGCCCCACTCTGCCCCACTCTGCCCCACTCTGCCCCACTCTGCCCCACTCTGCCCCACTCTGCCCCACTCTCCCCCACTCTGCCCCACTCTGCCAGTTAGTATTCTAACTGACAGTGATTGGTGGGAGCCATTGCTACAAAAGCCTTTTCCCGAGTACTGGTTTGTTTTATGTAGGTTGCTAGGATACAGTACCAGATACTAAAGCGTAATGGAAACGCAGCCCGGTCGATTAGAGCAGGGCTTGTGGAAACAGGGCTTATGGTCCTCCAGAAAATCTTACTGGTGATGATTACTCCAGGGGTGGGCAGAGCTGCTGGTCAAAAATATGTATTCTTTTCAAAATGAGATACAAGTGAAATTTCAGCAATCACCTTTAAAGGAATGAGTAAAAACTTGCTCACATGAGATTGTGATCCACCACAGCCTGCAGGATGATGGAGTACCAGCCGCTGGAATTCATGTAGTCTTGGGGGTTTTCTCTGGGGCCCACGATGGGGATATGCGTGGTCCCGATGGCCCCTGCGCACTGAGGGTAGCCTTGGTCCTTGAAGGCCTTCACCGCCGCCTCCAGCTTCTCTGCTTTAGGCAACGACAGAAACTCCTCATATAGAGAGTTCACGATGGCTGTGGTAACCTGCTCCGACACAGAGGAACGTTCAGTCCCTGTTGTTTCTCCAACTTTATGTAAACAGAATTTTTTCAGGATTAAGTGGAAAGTTACAAGCCGCTCGTTGGAGGAGGCCTTTTGAAATTTCCCTACATGGAATTTTAAAACATGTCCTAGAGGTCATAAAGCTGGTGTACCTAGCTTTTTTCATATACCCTTTCTTTGTCTCAATTATAGGCTGTATATAGATGGACAATGCAAACCCACTAGCTCAATGAAGCCCAACAGGCAAGTGCTCATGGACAAAGCTTTGTCCATGTAAACTCCTCAAGCTAACCGTTTGTGTCACACTCATCATTTTGGATTAGAATTCCATGGTTTCGCCCTTTTTGTGATCATGGTGCTTTTATTGTGATAATGTATTTATAAATCCTGATATGAGCCTTCTGTTGCCGAACTTGGCTTTAGCAGTGAGTAGCGCAAGAGGGCAGAGACTGGCATCGCTCCTAATTGGACACTTACTGTAGTAAATAGGTCGTTGCTACCAACAATTTTTGCATCAAGTTGGCTCCACATTCAAAATAAAATAGCCTGTTCAAGTAATCAACTTCTTCCGCATTAAGGCTCACACTATAGGCAATGTCAGTACTCGGTTTGTCTACTCCTAATATACAGACTCAGGAGTCTGTGATCAAAACAGATCATAACATGCCGTCTTTACCTTATTAGAAAGTGAGGGTCTCTTTTTCACATTTCTGTCTGAAAAAGTTGATCTAAAGATGTGGCAGAGGTCAAAACTTGGCAGAAGCAAATTGTTTTGAGCCAAATGATGGATTGTGATACATGGTTCCATTTTTGTGGGTACCTCAGCTTTAAATGTGACTGCCCAATTGTGGAGCCTGCTCTCCACTACCTGGCGCATGATGATGCAGACAGTGGTGATGCCCACGCCGAAGCGCTCAGAGATCAGCCTGTACTCCTCATTCTGCGCGTACCACCAAAGGGCGATGGCAAGGCGGCGGCGTGCGTCAATGGGTATTCGGCACTGGGTCTTCTTCCTGGTGATGGTTGGCTCAAGCAGCTGCAGCAGGTGGGAGAATGTGGCCCGAGTCACATGGAAGTGGTCCTTCCACTCCTCATCACTGCAGCGCTGTGCGGCCTGCCAGAAGTCTCCTACAAAAAAGAGGTTACATTATGTATTATAGCTGTTCATATCTTTTTCTATATTTTTGTTCTTTTTCATTGTATTGTCTGTACATAATACAATGTGTATACTGCCGCCTCTGTGGATGTCGATGACGGAGGACACCCGAAATAATCATCTGTGTCTACAACTGTATGCACTGAAATACCACAAATATTATGGAGGTTGTGTAATGATTTTGAATGTGTTTGTATGTGTTTTAAGGTTGGGTTGGGTTGCTCTGTAACCATTGTCACTTCTGTATACAGCGCAACATAATATATATATATATATATATATATGATCAAAAACAAATGCATTGCAACTGTATAATGGACGAAGTGGGCTTTAATCTCACTACAGAGTTTCATAGTCTGTTTCTGCTACAACTGTCAGAACGATAGACGTGAAACCAGACCACAAAAATGGCAACACTCTTCTTTATAGCCTTGATCGGTGCGACAGCCGCTCCCACTGGTCTTAATGCATAATGCAGCTCGAAGCCCAACGCGACAAACAGTGACTCACAGGGTGCTATGTTATTGTTTTCAAATAAGATGAAGACAGCATGTTGTGGTCTGATTTGTTCACAACATTTTGCTTTATGAGACTCTTTCTGGTGGCACAGACAACATGTGAGGCAAGCCATCTTTTAAGCCGTCATCTCACCTCCTTCCACGGGCCGATACTTGGTCCACATCTCCCGGATCCCGAAGGACTTGACGAGGCCCAGCACCCCAGCCAGAGCAGACACCACGACTCGCTTCCTCCTCCGCAGATAGTGGCGCATTCTCCGGGCCCTTGCTATCGTCTCCCGGGCCCTTCTGCGCCTCATCTCCGCCGTCCTCAAAAGGTATAGCTCCAGGACTCGGTCGTCCAGAGTTTGGGCGCAGCTCGGGTCTAAGGCGAGCAGAGAGGAGAGCAGAGAAGCCCGCAGAGCCGCACTGCTCTCCTCGCCGGACGCCATCTTGAATCGGACCAAAACAACGTGTCTTCCTCTCGGTAAACATGAGGCTGTGTGCGGGAGACATTTAGCGGACAGAGGCGTGTACTACAGTGGCTCAAATCAGAGTCAGAATCAGAATCAGAATCAGAATCAGAATCATTTTTATTGCCAACGTAAGTAACGGGAGGTCACAGACTTGGAAATTGCTTTGGCTCAGTGCAACAGTCAAAAAGAGATAATAAAAATAAGAATAAAAAACACTTCTAAAGAATAAATTTAAATTTAAAATAGAGTTACAGTTACTATTTACAATGTACAAGTGCACATGGTGCACACAATGTAAGGTGACAGCAGTACAGTGACGTAAAGTGACGTATGATGGGCAGTAAAGTGACTTTATAAAGGGCGGGGGGACAGGTTAAGAAGTGTTCAAGAGTCCAACAGCAGAGGGGAAGAAACTGTTCTTGTGGCGGGAGGTTCTAGTCCTGATGGACCGCAGCCTCCTGCCTGAGGGGAGTGGTTGGAATAGTCCATGTGCAGGGTGAGAGGGGTCGGCTGTGATACGACCAGCCCGGCCTCGAGCTCGGGCGACGTACAGGTCCTGCAGCGATGGAAGGCTGCGGCCGATCACTTCCTCTGCAGAGCGCACAATGCGCTGTAGTCTCTGTTTGTCCCTGACTGTGGCTCCAGCGAACCACACGGTGATGGAGGAGGTGAGGATGGACTCGATGATGGCCGTGTAGAACTGCACCAACATCTGTGCAGGCAGCTTGGCTTTCCTGAGCTGCCGCAGGAAGTACATCCTCTGCTGGGCCTTCTTGATGAGGGAGCTGATGGTCGGCTCCCACTTGAGGTCCTGGGTGATGGTGGTGCCCAGGAAACGGAAGGACTCCACAGAGGTGATGGGGGGAGTCCATCACGGAGGGTGGGGGCGGGGGGACAGTGCTCTTCCTGAAGTCCACAATCATCTCCACTGTCTTCTGGGCGTTCAGCTCCAGGTTGTTACCACTGCACCAGGACACCAGCCGGTCCACCTCCCTCCTGTAGGCGGACTCATCGTTGTTGGAGATGAGTCCAATGAGGGTGGTGTCGTCCGCGAACTTGATCAGCTTCACGGAGTCGTGGCTGGAGGTGCAGTGGTTGGTGTACAGGGAGAAGAGCAGGGGAGAAAGAACACAGCCCTGTGGGGCTCCTGTATTTATAATCCGAGAGTCCGAGACATTCTTCCCCAGACGCACTCGCTGCTTCCTGTCCGTCAGGAAGTCAGTGATCCACCTGCAGGTGGAATCGGGCACGTTGAGCTGGGAGAGCTTGTCCTGGAGCAGGGATGGCAGGATTGTGTTGAAGGCAGAGCTGAAGTCCACGAACAGGACCCTGGCGTAGGTCCCCGGGGAGTCCAGGTGCTGTAGGATGTGGTGGAGGGCCAGGTTAATGGCGTCGTCTACAGATCTGTTGGCTCTGTAGGCGAACTGCAGGGGGTCCAGGAGGGGGGAGGTGAGGGACTTGAGATGGGAGAGAACCAGGCGTTCAAATGACTTCATGACGACAGACGTAAGTGCTACAGGTCTGTAGTCGTTGAGTCCTGTGATCCTGGGCTTCTTCGGGACGGGGACAATGATGGAGGATTTGAAGCAGGCCGGGACATGGCAGGACTGCAGAGAGGAGTTGAAAATGTCCGTGAACACAGGAGTAAGCTCACTGGCGCAGTGTCTCAGAGTGGTCGGAGACACGTGGTCCGGGCCAGGAGCTTTGCGGGGGTGCAGCCTCAGGAAGAGTTGTTTAATCTCTTTAGCGGCTATTGTTAGGCTGGGGGCAGGGCTGATGGGTGGGTCGTTAGAGTAGTGGGGGGTGGGGGAGGGAGAGGTGTCAGGGGCAGCATCAAAGCGACTGAAAAATAAGTTCAGATCGTCAGCTAGCTTGTGGTCATCAGCACAGGGGGGGGCTTTGGGTTTGTAGTTGGTGATCTCCCGTAGGCCCCTCCAGACAGAAGCAGTATCGTTGTTACCAAACTGCTCCTGTAGTCGTTCTCTGTGCCGGGACTTGGCTGCTTTCAGTTCTCTCCTGAACTGATATTTAGCTGCTTTGTAGCCGCTGCGGTCCCCCTCCCTGAAAGCAGACTCCTTTGCTTTCCTGAGCTGCCGGAGTTTAGCAGTGAACCAGGGTTTGTCGTTGTTATAGATGACCCTGGTCCTTGTTGGAATGATGCTATCCTCACAGAAGTGGATGTATGACGTCACAGTGTCCGTATATTCATCCAAGCTGTCTGTGGCAGCTCTGAAAAGGTCCCAGTCTGTAGATTCCATGCATGCGCGCAGCTCTTCCACAGCTTCATCAGACCACACTTTGGAGCTCCTCACTGCAGGTTTCGAGAGCTTTAGTCTCTGTCTGTAAGCAGGAACCAGATGTATCATGGAGTGATCTGAGAAGCCGAGGGCTGGCTTGGGAACAGCGCGAAAAGCTCCGCGCACGGTGGTGTAACAGTGATCCAGAGTGTTCTCCTCTCTGGTCGGGCATTTGATAAACTGTCTGTATTTGGGTAATTCCTGGCTCAAGTTTCCCTTATTAAAATCCCCCAGGATAATAATCAGAGAGTCCGGGTATAAGCGTTCCATACACAGTACTTGCTCTGCGAGTGCGCGCTGAGCCTCGCGCGCGTCCGCGCATGGCGGTATGTAAACAGAGAATGAATGAAACAATTTCCCGCGGGGAGTAATATGGTTTACAATGAATGAAAAGATATTCCAGAGCAGGAGAGCAGTGCTTGGAGATCACTGTCACATCGTTACACCAGTTTGTATTGACGTAGAAACAGAGCCCTCCGCCTCTGCTCTTCCCTGAGAGCGCACAATGGCGATCCGCGCGAAACAGCCCAAAGCCCTGCAGCTCCAGAGCGCAGTCCGGGATCCGCTCATTTAGCCAGGTCTCAGTGAAGCAGAGGACACAGGATGTGGCGAAGTCCTTGTTTCTTCTCATGAGCAGGCTGAGTTCGTCCATCTTATTGCCCAGTGAGCGTACGTTGGAGAGAAAAATGCCGGGGAGAGCCGTGCGCGCTCCTCTCCTCCTAAGACGCACGAGCAGGCCTCCTCGCTTTCCCCTTTTACGGGCCCACACTTTTTTGGCTAGAACATGAACTAAATCAGCCGCAGATGCCAAGAAAACAGGCAATAGGTCCATGGGAACGGTGGGTCGGATGTTCATAAGTTCCTCACGGGTGTAGGAACAGCCAGATGCACAAGAATCAGAGAAGACAAGAGAGGGGGAGACTATTATAGATCCATGGGTGAGACAGGTTGAGAGACAATATTGAGTGAATTATAATGGACATAATATATATAATGTACATAATACATTATACATAAACATTATACATAATACATAAACATAATATATAATGGATATATATATATATGTATCCTGTCAGACCTCTGAAGCAAAGTAGGGTTAATGCGGTGATGAGAGCCCTCTGGGAACACTTACGGCTGTGTCCTTCAGCAAGAGTTTCACCCACATTTCCGAAAAAAGAGTCTGGTGTGTGTGTAAATGGTTGATTGTGGTCTGATAACAGGTTGCCTCACTTCTGTCAGTGTGCCCCAGGGCAGCTCTGGCTACAATAGAAGAAAATCACCACTGTGTATGGAGTGAATGAATAATATTCCAATATTAATCTTGGAAAAAATAAATGACTTCACTCAGATAAATAGCAGATATGGATAGAATAAACTGCTAGATAAAGTATTACCGCAGCAATACTGTATAAAGTATTATTGCACATTATTGCAATTTTCTTTTCTTTTTTTTAGAGATGAACAACATTTCCAGGATCAGCAGTGAGTTATTGTTCCTCATACAATCAGAATCAGAATTCTATTATTGCCATGTGAGTAACAAGAAGTCACAAACGAGGAAATTGCTTTTTCAATCTCAGGGCAATCTTCAAGCAGCACAAGGAAAGATCTGTGGAAACTTTTTTTCACACAGAGAGTGCATCAGTCACTGACGCATGGATGTTAGTTTGTCCTGCTGCTCTCCAGGAGATAGACCAGGACAGTGCTGGACTTTCCTATCTCCTGATGACTTTGATAATAATAATAATAATTATTATTATTTGTATTTATTTTTCAAACCATAGGACTTAGGAAGCAAAACAATCTGATCTCATGAACACAGCTCTCTGTCTAATAAAACAGTACTGCCTCCAAATTACTTTCGGGAATTTCTAATTTGAAGTTCTATTGGGGTTTTTAAAGTGGAAATGTACTTCCTGAATCAGGAAGCTCTGCACACATGTAGCGTGATTTAGATTTATATAGCATCTATATTTTCTAAACATTAAAAACTGCAATGTATTGACATATCATTTTAAGCTAAAATCCACGTATGTGGAGGTTAGAGCCTCTAGTGTTAAAAATCTTGATATTCAGATTTTTCATTCATTCATTCTTGTATTTGATATGAACAAAACATCAGATTGGACAAACCAGAGTTGCTGTGCTTTCTCAAAACAAGTCCAGAGAAGGTGGTTGGTAGTTCTTGGTGGTTCTAAAGGCCTGTTTCCACCTGCCCTACACTATAGGGTAGAGTAGAGTAGAGCTGAAAGGAAACAGTAATAATTTGGTGTGAAAGTGTATTTATCTCGTGTCATCTTTAGTGTGAACAGCTTATATCTCCTCACACTCTTCCCGCTGTGTCTCAAAGACCTGCTTTTGGCGAAGGTGTTGACAGTGCCCCCTGTGGCCTGTGGGACTCCTGCGGGGAGGACAGATGACGCCTTGCGGACACATGCGTCTGGACGGGACTTCTCAGCATGCACCAATCTGAGGCAGGTGTGGTGTGTACAGGGGCCAGCAGGGAGTGTGCTCTCCCCGCTGTGAGTGTAACTGTCACACAACACATGAAGAAGCACGATGTACGCAATAGAACCAGGACTCAGTAGAAGTGTGGCATTAGTCCTAGTCCTAGAACACAGAACCTAGTCTGCACGGTCTTCACGGCCTACACGGGCTGTCCGGAACTCGAGGGAT